CACTCCATTTCCGGCCACGAGCAGAACATGCGCCTCCAGCAGCAGCTCCAGCAGTCTCGTCCGGTGTCGACGCAGGCCCAGGCCCAGTTCGCGATCCCGCAGCCGCCTCAGCAGCATCAGCAGCACCAGCAGAGCATGGGCTACTTCGAGCCGTCGGCCTTCTACGACTTCGTGTCGCCCGACCTCGAGATGCCGCTCTCGGCCATCAACCAGGTCAACCTCGCCGAGGACTTTGGCTGGAGCGTGCCCTCCATGCCCTCGGCCGTCGTCGTCGACAACTGCGCGTCGGCCTACCATCACCAGCAGCAGGCCCACTACTACCAGCAGCAGCAACAGCAGCCGGTCCACTCCTATCTTCTGGCCGACCAGCTGCCCGCCACCCAGTGCTCCGATCTCGCCGAGTGGGTGGCGCACTACTGCAACTAAGCGGCGCAGCTCCTCATCTCTCTCTCTCTCTCTCTCCCTCCCCCCCACTACCGCGACAACGTTATATTGTAGATTACTATGTACTCGTTACTTCTCTCTCTCTCTCTTCTATCTTAATTATCTCTGCCGGCGACGAAGGGCAACTCTGCTCTCGGCGTCGATAGTTCGACGCGCGAGAAGGAGAAGCTCTTCGGCTCGGCAATCAAACGAATACGACAGTGCCGTCTATTCGCTCTCAAACACCTGCGGATTGCAATAAATCAGCTATCCTGCACCCACACATCTTCGTCCCCTCTTCTTCTTCAGCTCGTCGCAACCCAAGGAGTTCAGGACTTGCAGCGCGCCACCCGTTGCTTGTCCGGGCCGAACGTCTCTCTCGCCATCTGCCACGCGCTACGGCACCCCTTCCCTCACCAACCTCTGCCTTCTCCGCTTTCTCTTCCTCCCGCACCTCCGTTCTTTCCTTCGCTTTCTCTCATTGCTGGCATTCCTTTGTCGACAAACTTATCGGAGGTTTTGAGAATGCTGCGAAAAGTGCGTGAGATGCAAAACTCCCAGCTTATCGTTTGGCGAGATTGACGCCACAAGTTGGTGATTTGTAACTTGAGGAAGGACAGGCCGGCGAAGGAGGAAGGGGTGAGACAGCCTCTCATGCTGCGGTTGGGATGTATGCACGAAGAAGATCCTTAGATTCTTCGCTACCCACAGTGAAGCCCACATCGCCCTCATCTTTGACTTCGCACTCGCGGGGCTTTCAGCGTCTCGTGCAACTCTGGACCCACTACGTATGGCCCTACCTGCGAATCGCGTTCGGTGGAGACAAACGCAGCGCCGCTCTGTTTCGCGTAGCGCTTGCGATTACCGTGCTGGGCGATGTTGTCGATCGCGCCAACGATCTCGAAGCACACTACACCGATGCTGGCGTTCTTCCTCGAGGGCTCGTGTTGGAGAAATTCACCAACGCTACGTGGCTCTCCCTGCACATGTGGGGAGGCAGCTGGTGGGCGATGACGATTATGTTTGCCATCCATCTCATGGCGGCAACGGCGATGCTGGTCGGGTGGCACTCGCGCAAGGCCGCCTTCTCGGTGTGGCTCCTGACCACTCGCTTCAA